GAATAAACTGGATAAGAGACAAGAGGTGGTGATTGCTTGGAACAGGGGGGTTGGGCAAGAGGTGGAGATAAATGGGTGAACTGGATATTGAAGGGACAAAAATGACCTAGGCTTGGGAATGGGTCAATAAAGGAAGATGAAGGGAAGAGAGGTATCAAAGATAACACCTATTGTTCTGTGACTGGGCAAAGGAAGGGATAGGAAAAAATGGAAGAGACTCTGGTTTGGACAGGGTGATTGTCACTTTGAGATTCTTGAAGATAAAGGCTGTGGAATAGATGGCAGGATAATACAGATTAGGAGCTTGCTTAGAGGGAAACCTTTGCTGTGAAACACTTTGGGAGCAGTTGTGTAATAAAATCTACTTTAAAACACTAAGATTTGAGCCTGGTGTAGTGGCGCAAGCCTTTAAGCCCAGCACTTGGGAGGCAGAGGCAGGCAGATCTCTGAGTTTGAGGCCGGCCTGATCTACAAAGTTCAGGCCATCTGGGGCTACAGGGAGTCTTCTCAAAAAGACCAAAAAGACCCTAAGATTTGGGCTGGCTCAAATCCACATAAAGCTGGGTGTGATAATGCATGTGTCTGTGATCACAGTACTGCTGTGGCAAGATGGAAGGAGACAGGAGACTCCCCAGAATCCTGGAAGCTTGTGGGCCAGCTATCTTGGCATACACAGCTATGAAAACACCGGAGACCCTGTTTTAAATTGCCTTTAATCCCAGCACTCTGGAGGTAGAGGAAGCAGATCTCTGTGAGTTAGAGGCCAGCGTGGTCTACATAGCAAGTTCCAGGCCAGGCAAAAAGCTATTGTCCTAGTTTGTTCTTCATTGCTGTGACAAAATACTCTGACCAATACCAACTTGGGGAGGAAAGGGTTTATTCAGCTTACATCTCCCAGGTTGAAGTTCATCAGGGAGTCCAAGGTAGGAACTGAGGGCAGGAATCTGGAAGCAGGAGCTGGAGCACAGGCCATGGAGGAATGCTGCTTACTGGCTTGCTCCC